GAATCAATGTTTGATGATTTACAAGTTCAAATGTTCTACAATTACTAAAGAAAAGTAAATTTTACCAATATGTCAAAATAATGTTAAATTCTGTTGATCGTTCTTATTTTGCTGTTTTCCTCGTGCTCAATTCTAATATCCATGGGAGACGTTTGGGGACGGGCAAGGGGGGGGGACAGGTGTCCCCCCTAGCTTTTACGACTTTACAACGCGTAATGGCTGTATGTCACCATACTAAATTAAATACTAAAATTTAGCCCTAAATTAAATTAATAATTTAGTACTAAATTTAGAACTAAAAATAGTTTTTTCCTTTTGCAATGATACCAATTTTTAGGACTAAATTAAGTATAGGCGCACGCACATTGACGTATTATTATGTGAAATTAGCACAGAAATGAAATATTCTATGTAAATGAGACAAGTGAATTAAAAGATGTTTTTATTATGACTTTGACACCAGTTGACTTGACAACAATCAAACGCAGCAATGCTACTAAAAACCACGAAAAAACTCAATAAAACCTACTAAATCAAACACAAGCGAAATTTGCCCAAGGCGTTAATGCAAAGTTGAAGCTAACCAAAAACAAAATGGTGCAGAAAAGACAGTCGTGTCAACTTTTTTTGAGAAAAACTTCTGCGCAACATTTCTACGCATTTTTAATACTAAATTTAGTAGAGAATAGAACAAGTTCCAATTAAATAATTTTTTTAGTATTAAATTTAATACCAAATTTGCTGTTTGCACCGTGAATTTTTTTAGTACATAAAAAATGTATTAATTTAGTTCTAAATTTAGTACTTAATTTAGTATCGTAACGTAGAGCCTTAATATATGAATTACTGATATTTCGTTAGGTAGGTACTATGTGCCACAGTTTGACAACACTGTATGAGGTACAATTACGTAACTAAGGGTGAGATTACAGAACGTCTGCAACTTTGCAGATCTGCAAATATGGCGGACTTACAGATGCATGTATCAAGTTTTCGTATTCCAAAAAATATCTGCAAATTCGCAATATTTACTGTGGTTTATTACCCCCAACAACACTAAACCCAAATTAACCTTTGAAAGGGTGAGATTACAGCAGCTCTGCAAATCGTACTTGCATCTGCAAATATCAGTTCGTTGCAGTTGAAAAAGAGAAATATGGTATTACAGAAACGTCCGCCATATTTGCAAATCTGCAAAGTTGCCGCTATATTTGCAGACCTGCAAAGTTGCAGACGTTCTGTAATCTCACCCTAACACAATTACACAACTGCACTGGCTCATATTAGGGATGGGCAAGTGAAAAAAAAAAAATATCGATATACATATCAAATGGATATTTTTTAGCTGTATCGATTATTATTGAGGTAAAAATATCGATATATCGACATTTTTTGTAAAAGCGTGTTTGGTGACCTAAAAATGATTCCAAAACATTCAATGCATAAATAATGAATATACATGTAGAAAATAAGTATTTATTTTATTTAATGAAACAATTTTGATCAAACCAAACAAGTCCACCTCATTGGAGATACCGCCTCACGTCGTCACACGTGACAGTTGACACTAAAGTCACTAGTCACTACAGACCACAGATCATAGTATGTGCCACAGATACACACATTATAGATATGTTCCAACAGCAGTACAGAAGCGTTCCAAATGTATCTGCGCATGAGCAGTACGATTTAACTGTTCTATTTTTCATACTACTCATGCGCAAATAATTTTCGAATGGTTCTGTACTGCTGTTGGAACAAACCTTATGCTAAACTTAATTAAAAAATATATCGAATTCGATACTCGAAAATAAATATCGATTATAGATTAATGAAGAATAAAAAATATCCACAATATTTATTGATTATTTTATGAAAAATATCGATATTTTAATATATCAATTATTTTTACCCAAGCCTTGTCGATTGTCGCTGTGCACGCATAACAATAAACACAAAGCATAATATGATAGGTAACCTTTAAATTGATTGAATTGTTTAAGGAAATAGAAGAAATAGGTAAACATGACAGGTGTAGCTAAATGCCACGAATTACGGACAACAATCTCATAAGTAGAAATAATATTCAGGCTAATACAGTTAAATATTATAGGTTGAATATATTTATTCCATATCTTACACGTATCTATATATTTTACTTTTTTTTAAAGTAGGTAAAAACAAAAAAAGCAATAGCGGTTGCTGTGTTGTAAATTGTAAAAATACTAGCAGGAAAAAGAGTGTAAATTATATAAATTTTCAGTAGCAAAATGGAAATTAAATCAAAGAAATAAATGGACAGTTGTACAAAAAAAAAAAAGAAAAAATCCTATATTTTTGTAATAATAACAGTAATACTGGAAATAGTAGATATTAGAAAATTGAACGTTTTTAAATAAACAATAAAATGTTATTTTACATTGTTGTTCAACATCCCTTAACTCTTAAATGTTCAGCAAGGATTAGATTTCTGCCTTTGATTATTGTATGTGGCTGAAATGCAATCTTGTGATTTATTGATAGGAAACCAATAATATAAATTACAATCGCAAATTTACCAATTATTTTTGTTAATACGTTTTGATCCTACGTTATTATATAATGGTAATATTTTTATTTTCACATTATTTAACATTTTCTTCAATGATAACTTATTAGGCTAAGGCAACATATTATACATTTTATCGTAAATATTGATGCCTGTCTATGTTTTATTATTGATTTTTATTGAATATACTATCTTTTTAGCTGAAGTAATAAAAATATAAAATAATAATTAATTTTTTCACTTCTTTTACAAATCTATATACTTTTATTAAAATATATTTTTTAATTAGAAATTTATTCCATTAAAAATTGTATTGTCAGTATACGCAAATATCGTCCGTTAGTTCATAAATTAGTTGACGCTGCTGTCACGCACAGAGCGAATAATGAATGAAAATAGGCTGACTGCGCTTTGCATGATGAGCGTACATCGAAAAATAATCGCAAAAAACTAAAAAGGAATCATATTTTCTGTTATCGATTATTTTAGACAGAGAAAGAAAAAATTAAAAATTTGCGTTTTCCTAGTATACGTCGACGTGTTTGAGTGAGTTTTTTTGTTTTTGTGTTTCTATAAATATTTTATTTTTTTTTATATTATGTATGGCTCTGTCTTCTTGTTCATATTTTTATTTTTTTTCACACTTTCTGTTTGTTTTTTTTTAAATATGTGTTTTAAGTTTCTTGTTTTTTTTTATTTTAGTTTTTGTCTTTTTTGTTAGGTTATTTTATTTACTAGAAACTTTTGTTAATTTGTACTGGTCTTTTATTTTTCATTTTCTTCGTTTTTCAACAAATAAACATTCAAATTTTTTTCAAAATTTTGTAACGACGCCCATGCTAATATCATTAAATTATCTGTTTCTCTGCTCACGATGTCTATATGCTCTTAGTTTGCTTCGTTTCTCCTTCTAATTTGCTCCTAACGCTTCTGCTCTGTCTCGACAGTTAAAATACTATGTCGCTTTGTGATTTTGTTCTTTTCTCCAAAACAAATTAAACCGTTCGTTCAAAATGAAAAACTCAAATTTTCTTTTTATTTAGGAAACTTATTTTAATTAAAATGCAAATAAGAACTGAATTAAGTCGTAAAACCCAAATCAAGCCATCAAGTTGTACCTAATAGCTGCAACATAAAAAATATGTTAGCTTAAAGGAGATATTTTTTCTTTAAAATGCCTTTTAATGGCTTATCTAGCGTAGAAAACTCTTCTGTAAATAGTAGTGGATAATAAAACAATTGAGAAAACGAAACAAATTCCAAAAAGGATGACATAACTCACCATAGTGATGCAAATGTCCGGTGATGGGATACCAACAAACAAACCGACAACACGGCATATGGGTGAAAGTCGGAATTGTTTGACGAACAATAATCATTAATCAGTCTTTAATTGGAGTAGGTAAATAGCTCAAGCGACCATAAACTTCTCCCATATACACATCCTAATAGACTTGCTTTAACTTCTTTTGTCTCAAGACGATTGTTTTCAGCTGACAGTACCGCCGTTACACATGAACAGTTCGAATTCTATAAAACTAATTAAAATGATTGTTACAGAATTCCAGTAGCGGATCAATTTTATTTTAAGGGTATTCGTTGATATAGAAACCCCCTTACGGAATATAATATTAAATCAAAAATGTTACTCTAAATGCGGGGTGGTTTACAGATCTAAAATATTATCGTTAAATCATTTTTTTAATTGAATAAATTCTCTGTTTTTTCCTATACTTTAGCACTCCATCTCTGCTATGCTACTCAGTAATGGTTACTCTGGAAAATCACAGAAGGACTTACACCAGGGCACTGTGGTTTTACTCAGTCACGCTGCTAAGTACGAGTGGCGACCACTGGTCGTTCATGTGGACGTGCTAGCTATTGAGTAGCGCGATTCCATGGTAGGCTCATGGAGGAAGGTTTTTAAAATTTGCCAGTATAATTCAGAACTCCTTCTAGCGATACTTGCATGCCTTGTTCCTTGCACCAGAATCCATTACTTCAAAATTTTCCAAGAAAATTCGACAAATTTCCTCCCAAGCCTTACTCATTAATACCCTATTGCTATAATATTTTAAACTACTGTTCTAAACCACAGGTCGTTGTTCTATTTCGACTATAAATCGATCTGCATTGAACACCATATTACTCAATACTGAACCGTGGCAATCAAAATAAAATATCTCTCAATGTTAGTAGAAGTCGATGACAAAAGTGGCCCGTGTGGACGGTTCCAGCGACTGAGTGTCGCCAGTTCGTCGTGGGGACCCGCTTGCGTATTACCATTGTTTACTATTATCCAGAGCAATCATGCTCCGAAACGCAGTAGAGAATGGCTTAATAAATACGCCTATTTTATATTGCCACCATTTACTGCGATTCAGCACATTACCATTATGACAGTGTTCTGAATTGCAGTAAGCAATGGTTCTTTACGCGTTGCTAGCGGCCGATGTTAACTGCAGTACAGCGCCGACTTATCGCTAGTAATGAGGACAAATCCTTAATGTATACAGTCGATGTCAACTTAGCAATGTGTGACTGTCCTTATGGTGCCGGGGGGAAGTTCTGCAAACATCTTTGCGCGGTTCAGGAAACTTGTGGTATTGTCTTTAAAAATGCTCCATTATTAACTGCTAGTGATAAAAAAACTCTGGCCAAGGTAAGTCTCGGATATGACGTTCCTGAAGATTTTTTTGAAAACATGGAAGTTCAATATATGGAATGCGGTACCAGTTGTGATAACACAAATAATAAAAAAAGTTGTTCTGAAATATCGTCAATAGCAACTACGCCATCAGAAGATGACGAAATAATGGATAGGAAGCACTTGGCTGCTATTGAAAAGCTTAATTTAAGTTTCCAAAGGCTTACTTAAATGGCTTCAGAAAATAGATCAATTGATTTGACAAATTCAATTATAAAATTGAATAGTACTCTAAATAAAAGAAAAACGCCCTCACAATTGGCAACATTTTTTTGTAATATGAGGAAAACACGATGTTCCGTAAATATCGAAGTACAATCGGGGTCAATCAGCCGGAAGACCTGGCCTTACTTCTGGAGCTAAGAGAATTCAGTCGGGAAGACCATCAAATCAGGAAATATCAATAACTAAGAAAGGCAAACGAAATCTTGGGAAAAGTATTGCAGAAAACATTTCCAATGCCAAATCGCACACATCGCAAACATATAATAATAATATGCCCTTATGCAAAAAATAACACAAATTATGATATTGTTAAATATATAACCATCAGAGTGCAGTAAACAATAAACGCGTCTATATTATTGCTTAAATCATTCATTTTAAAAATTGTTCTGAATACAAGTAAAGATTGGAAAACTAAATTACGCGCGTGTTTAAAGACCATTGGTTACTACGATTCAGAACACTGTCATAATGGTAATGTGCCGAATCGAAGTAAACGTTGGCAATACAAAATACGCATATTTACTAGGCCATTCTCTACTGCGTTTCGGAGCATGATTGCTCTGGATAATAGTAAACAATGGTAATACGCGACCCGCTTCTCTTCGCAACAGCCGCTCGTCACAGACGCTCGTCTGGACAGCTTCTACATTTTAACATTGAATTGAATGACAGGCGTGTACTCGCTACTAAGTGACGCAACTAAGTGTCGCCACCGAGTGGCTCGTCTGGACGGGCTCTATTACTCTCGCTGTTCTATTCTTGCTGCTCCTATCTTGTTGGTCTCTTTTTGTCTCCTTTTTACCTTTTTAATATTTTTTCTTTATTACTTTCTATCAAACTCCATTAAAAAATCCAACAAATGTATACATTAATAATCACTTCTAACCCCTTTAAAAGGAAACGCCCTTCATTGACGTTCCCGTTTAAAAATCCAAATCCTCAACAAAAACAAATTATCTGACTACTCCAATTTTTATACCATCCCAATATACCTGCTAATATATAATTTTGAGAACCAAATTTTGTCTGACGTATTCAGTTACCCTCTAGAACAGCCATAATCAATCGCGGCCCTCCAAGCTGTTTTGTGCGGCCCTCCAAGCTTTTTTGTGCAGCCCCAAACACGAATATTATTAATTGAAATGGTTAACTTAGAGTCCTGTCCTTGCGACTTTTCAAAGAATATTTTAAAGAACTAAAAAAATATGAGGACCTTTGTTTTTAGAAAATATTTAAAGCAGATCCCTTTATTTGCATTTTAAAAAGGTGGCAACTCTAGTTATGACCCAAAAATATTGTCGCCCGTGTAGCTTAAAAAGCAGATTTACGTGGCCCGAAAAAGAAAGGTTGAGTACAGCTGCTCTAGAAGGTTACATATCAACATAATAGACGAACAGAACATAGAAATCAGTATCCGGCCTTCTTCTCTCTTTTATTTTTTATTTCTCTCTCTCTCTCTCTCTCTCTCTCTCTCTCTCTCTCAAAAGTAGCAACCTCACCCTTGAACATGTATTCCTAACCTTTTTCATCTTCCATACCATCAGATCGTAGTCAAATAGGTAGGCAATTGCTTTGTTTACAAAATAATTTGTATATTGTCATTTAGGTTAGGTAGTTGAAATCTGATAGGTATGGGTACTTTCACTTACTTCGGGGAATTGGCTAATCCTGTAAATTTTATAAACTTTTGTTCTGGAAGAAAAAAATCTAGAAGATTGATTTTCCCTCTTCTTTTTTTGAGCCTGTTTTTAGATATATCTTGTGCTGGTTTACATCCTAAAATGAACAAAAACTGGTTAAATTTTATTAATTTTCTGTAAAAGCTAAACCTTCATCTTTCCCCAAGGCCACACCCCAACTTCGGTAAGTTAAAATAAATTATCTCATACATCTATTACATGTTTTTTATATTTCCCTTTTATTTCTCTTTCTTAATTTCATATTGTTTATAATATATATTGGAAAACTACTTATCTGAGCTTCTGGTGACAATCGAGTTGACATTGCTTGTACTCAAGATAAAATTTTAGAGCTTACTGCATGCTGTTGGCTATCTACTTTCCTACAATCCTCTAGTGCTTCTATTAATTTATTGTATGCTGTTTAACTATTCTTCCGTAGCTGCTAGTTCTATGGCACCCTCTAGAGCTTGTACCTGCTATTCAGTACCTGCACCATTAGCCAGGATAGTTACAAGTAGAGCTTTCCAGTTTGAATATACCTTTTTCACCGGTGCGTGGTAGAGCGTAGAGCTGAAAAGAATATAAACCATCAAGTTGCTCTTAGTTTGTAAAACGCTGTATTGTAAATATTATATTTAAATTGGTTTTAATATATATTTCAAAAACCATTCAGTCCAATAATTTTTTTAACCTACTGTACTCAAGGTACCAAGACAGACTATATCCCAATCAATATAATTTGTATCCCAACGTTTGTTTTAATTTGTAAGAATTAATTACTAGCTTGTAAAAATACAAAGGTCTGTAACAATCTTAACTATCTAAGCTTATTCTCTCGCATCTTCTCACCTATAGACGCAACTCCTAGATAACTCTATATAACGTACCCTTTATACTATTATGACGTTCGTTTATTTTAAAACAGTTTAATTATTCTGATTTGTGCAGTGTGTCTCAGATTCGCTTCTCTATACAGAAATCTCGGCTCCTATTATACCTACAGCAAAGGTTCTGTATCTGTAACGTGTGGAGGGTGGGTTACCCCCACGGCACTTAGACCTTACTAGGTTAAATAGGAATAATTTTAGAGGAAACTTAGTGCATTTAATAACCGGCTTCATATTTACGATCGGTCAGTTGGTTATGGAAATATTGGCGAAAAACCGATAATGTCGGTTTTCGTTTTTCGCCTGTAAATCCTAAACGAATAATTTGACAGCTGTCAAAATGTGACATTATTTAGACACTTTTTTAAGGCGAATAAGATAGCGTGTATGACATGTCTCAGTCGTCTTTTGTTATCTCGCAATCCGAAAAATTTCCAGTCTTGTAATGTCTCACAAGTACCGAAGAGATTTGAATATCATCGAAATATCACACTTCGTAAAGTTAGGTCTCATTTTTATAAGTAGCCCATTGTTTCCTTCTAAGGAGGTAATTAAAATGAAAAATTATATTATATAATATTAGATAGGGTAATTATTTGGTCATGCCACTATTTATTTAAAAATTGACACCGCTGTTCACAAATGATCAGTTTGAATTCTATAAAACTAATTAAAATGATTGTTGCAACAAGTCATTCTGATCCGATCTAACAAGTCGAGTCGGGTGCACAGTAGCAATAATACACTATAATAATTGGCTATATCTATATTTACGCTAGAAGGCATCATTTGTGAGAAAGCGGCTCTATCATTGTTCGATTACAAATACGAGATTAGTAGTTACTTTCAATATGATAATGTATTTTTGGCATGTATGGGAATGAATGCTTGATTGGGTTTTGATGGATGCAGGATAGGACTCGGCACGATTTAAAATGAAGATGAAATAAATTACACCATAATGTTTTCTCTACAATTATAACGTTGAGACGGGACATGATATTTAAATTATTATTAGAAATGATTTAAGTTTGCGAATACAAACTATCCCGGAAAGCTTATGGTCGTAGGAAAAACATAGTTTAAATCATATATAATAGAATATTTTGTTTAACTGTTACTTTGTATTTAGTTAATTAGTAATCATTAACTTTAATTACCTTTGTTAATTAATTATATTTAATTTTGACAAGCTCCTAGGTATATTTATATCAAACTATTTACCTTAATCGTCTTAATCCAATCAGAAAATCAAATGAGCATATGAGACTGTAGTTTTCTTAGTTGTGAATTCAGGCTTTTCTAATAGATTTTAAGGTGAAGGGGGAGAAAAAGTCCTTTATATCTCACAAGGAAAGTTAATGTTTATTTATTCAATAAAACATTGAGTGCGACCGGTTTCAAAGTATCATCACTTCATCTTCAGGCTCGCCTAGTGGAAAAGAGAATATGTGGTGTAAGGTGTGTTAACTTTGAGCCAACGATATATAAAATAGTAAAAAAGAAAACCCACCATACTCTCCATCCACTAGGGAATACTATAAACAAGTTTCATCAAATGTGGGGGATGAAATAAATTGTAAAATAAACAATGTTACAAGTTATATAAAAGTTAAAAATATTTGAAAAACAAATATTAGTCAGTTTAAATAGTTAAAAATTTAAAATTTTCAAGACTATACAAAACAAAACACATACATTAAACAGATTAAAAGAGAAGGCTTATTTTAAACACATTGTTGTTTTTTAAAAATAATTAGTAGTGTTACTTAACCTAACATTTTTGAAAGGCCTCTACAGGTGGTGGTAAGTAATAACAAAAAATTCTTGGATAAACTTATGACAGGGTATAGGTAATAAGATGCAAACTATGAGTGAAGAAATATTTATTATATATTATATAAGATTTGGGCCATGAACCAATTACCAAGTGTATGTAGGATAAAAAAGAAAGAAGAAGAAATGACTGGGTTAACTGTTGTGAACACATACTTTGATTACTATACGAGGCAAGAGAGAGGTCCGACACGCATAACATAGGGCGCGGCCATTTTGAACCCTGTGACACAGTTTACAGCTGAAGAATCAGATCGCTTACACTTTTGATCTCAATATTTCAGTTTATACACTGTGCAACTCGGATAATACAATATATGACAAACGCCTATAATAAAACAGCAGTCTTCTGCGTATCCTGAATTTGTATCCCTGGAGTGGATGTTATTTTGGAACTTTCAAATGGTCCGAGTGAGCTAACTGATTCTTTAGCAATAAACTGTGACTTCAAAAATAATATTCACTGACACTGACAGCAGCAAGCAAAATATCAGGTGCGTTTTAATCATCCGCTTCTGCTTCCGGAATTGTCGGTTTA